ATCCTCCTGCCTCAGCCTCTCTTGTGTTTGGGATTACTGTGCCCAGTTCTAGTGCCAGAGTTTTCTTTGTGGGAGGTTTTAAAATTATGAATTCAATTTCTGCAATATATATAGAATATTCAGATTTTCTATTTCCTATTCAGTGTTTGCAATTTGTATCCTTTAAGGAATTTGTCCATTTGTCCACTTGGTGGAATTTACGGGCATAAAATTGTTCATAATATACTCTTATTACTCTTTGAATGTCTTTGAGATTTAATGACATCCCTCTTCATTCCTGATATAGGTAAATTGTGTTCTTTTTTCTATTTTGCTCAGCCTAGCTGGAGCTTTATCAATTTGATGTACCTTTTCAAAGAATCAATATTTGGTTTCATTGATTCTTTTCTATTTTCTGTATCATTTATTTTTTTCATTTCTTCCTACATAAATTTATTCTTCTCTTTCTAGCTTAAGATGGAAGCTTAAATAGTTTTATATTTTTCTTCTAAAGTAAGTATTTAAAGCTAGTGTCCCTTTAAGTACTGATTCTGCTGCAGCCTGCAAAAGTGTGTGTATATGTGTGTGTGTGTCAGGAATTGAACCCAGGGGCACTCTACCACTGAATGTTACATTATTTTTTATTTTGAGACAGGGTCTCACTGAAATGCCCAGGGTAACCTGGAAATTTTGATCCTCCTGCTTCAGCCTCCCAAGCTGCTGGAATTACAGGTGTATGACACCACACCTGGCTTCCTCAGCCCTTTTAAAAATTTTCACTTAGCCTCCCATGTAGCTGGGATACAGGCTTACAGGTGGGCGCCACTACACCTGGCTTTTAATTTTTGGGTACTGGAGTTTGAACCCAGAGATGCTTTACGACTGAGCTACATCCCCAGCCCTTTTTGTTTTTTTGAGACAGGGTCTCACTAAATTGCTAAGGCTGGCCTTGAACTTGGGATCCTCCTGCCTCAGCCTTCAAGATACTGGGATCACCGGTGAGTGCCACCATGCCTGGCCCACCCCCTTTTATTTTTTAAATATTTTGTCAGTAATTGGAGGACCTTTATTTTTATTTATATGCAGTGCTGAGAATAGAACCCCTCACACATGCTAGGCAAGCACTTGACCACTGAACTACAACCTCAGCCCCCGCCCCTTCTTTCAATTAACCCTTTTTAAAATTTTGAGACAGATTCTCATAAATTGCTTAAGCCTCGATGAGCTGCCAAAGCTCACCTTGAATGCAGTTCTCTTGCCTCAGCCTCCTGAGTCACTAGGATTACAGGCATGTGTCACCATATCCTGGCTTTTATTTTGTGGCACTGGCACTGGAACCCAAGGCTTTGCACATGATAAACATACCGTCTTATGGCTGAGGCCACACCCCCAATGGACCAAGTATCTTTTTTATTATTAATTTCTAATTTTTTGTTAGGTTAGAGAACATACTTTTTATTGTAACTTTTTTTTTTTCAGTGCTGAGGATTGAACTCAGGTCCCTGTGCAAGGCAAGTGCTCTACCATTGAGCTACACATCCCAATATGGCCTAAAACTTTGATCCTCCTTCCTCAGCTTCCCGAGTTGCTGGGATTACAGGCATGCACCAGCTTGTCCACACAAAGAACATACTTTTAATGATTTAAATCCTTTTAAGTTTTTGTTTTGATGACCCAGACTACTGGTTATTTTGAATATTCCAAGTGTATTTGAAAGAAAATGTTTTGTTATTGGGTGTAGGCTTTCAATTGTCAAATTGGTTGATTGTACCATATTGTTCAAGTCTTCTATATCCTGACTGATTTTGTTTCCTATCAATTACTATGAGATGAGTGTTAAAATCCTTAATTATAATTATGATCTCAAATTATGATTTCTCCAGTCAATTGTGTTAGTTTTTTTTTGATACCAGGGATTGAATGCAGGGGCACGCAATCATTGAGCCATATTCCCAGCCCTATTTTGTATTTTATTTAGAGACAGGGTCTCACTGAGTTGCTAAGCCCCTCACCATTGCTGAGGCTGGCTTTGAACTCGGGATCCTCCTGCCTCAGCCTCCTGAGTCGTTGGGATTACAGGTATGTGCCACCACACCCAGCTAGTTTTGTTTCTTATGTATTTGAGTATCTGTAATTGCATGCATACAGATTTAAGATTTTTCTTTCTGCTGGGTGCAGTGGTGCATACCTGTAATTTTGGAAACTTGGGAGGCTGAGGTGTGAGGATTCCAAGTTCGAGGAAAGCCTCAGCAATTTAGTGAGGCCCTCAGCAACTTAGTAAGACCCTGTTTCACAAAACAAAAAAATATTTTTTTCATTTTTTTAAGTACTGGAACCAAAAGCTTCGAACTCACAAATATCAGGCAATCAGGCAAGCACTAGACTATATTCCCAGCCCCACTTTTTTTTTTTTTTTTTGAGACAGAATTTCACTAGGTTGCTGAGGCTGGCCTGGAATTTATGGTCCTTTGGCCTCAGCCTCCCAAGCCACTGCACCTGGCCAATTTTTGTCTTTTTTTGTATCAGGGATTGAACCCAGGGGTGCTTAATCATGGAGCCACATCCCCAGCCCTTTTTAAAAGAAAAAAAAAACTTTTTAAATTGTAGATGAACACAATACCTTTATTTTATTTATTTTTATAGTGCTGAGGATAGAATCCAGTGCCTCACACATGCCAGACGAGTGCTCTACCATTGAGCCACAACCCCAGCCCCACAGCCCTTTTTGGTTTTTATTTTGAGACAAGATCTTGCTAAGTTACTTAGGATCTTGCCAAGTTGCTGAGGCTGGCTTTGAATTCACAATCCTCCAGCTTCAGCTTCCTGAGCCGCTGGGATTACAGGCATGCACCACCAGGACTGGCTTGATTTTTGCCTTCTTGATGTGTCTCTCTTTATCTTTGATAATATTCTTGGTCTTGAATTCTGTCTTGAATTTTGTCTAATATATTTTTTATATTTATTTTTTAATTTTAGGTGGCAACAATATCTTTATTTATTTCTATGTGGTGCTGAGGATCGAGCCCAGTCCTCATGCATGCTAGGCGAGCGCTCTGCCACTAAGCCACAACCCCAGCCCTTGTCTGTCTAATATTAATGTAGCCCCTCCAACTTTCCTATTTTGTGGTAAGTCTTTTTACTCTAAACCTGTCTTTTTTTTTTTTTTAGTTGTAGACAGACACAATATTTTTTTTAATATTTATTTTTTAGTTTTCGGCGGACACAACATCTTTGTTTGTATGTGGTACTGAGGATCGAACCCGTGCTGCATGCATGCCAGGAGAGCGTGCTACCGCTTGAGCCACATCCCCAGCCCCAGACACAATATTTTTTATTTTATTTATTTTTATGTGGTGCTGAGGATCAAACCCAGTGCCTCATATATGATAGGCATGCGTTCTACCACTGAACCACAACCCCAGCCCCATAAACCTGTCTTTTTGAAAAAATGTCTTTTTTTCCCCATAATACTGGGGATTGAATTCGAGGGTGCTCTACCCTGAGCTGCATTCCCAATCCTTTTTGTTTTTTGAGACATGGTCTTGCCAAACTATTCAGGTTGGTCTCAAACGTGATCCTTCTGCCTCAGTATCCTAAATCACTGGGACTACAAGTGGGTGCCACTGCACCTGACTAGCCCTTTAATATTTGAAGTGTATTTATCATTAGTTGTTTCCTCTTTATAGAGTTTGATAATTTCTTGCTATTATTTCACTCAGTACTGTCCTCCCATTTGACTTAAGATAATGAATCTGGGCCAGGGTGTACTGGCACATGCCTATACTCCCAGCAACTCGAGAGAGTGAGGCAGGCAAGTTGGAGGCCAGCCTGGGCCACTTAGCAAGACCCTGTCTCAAAATAAAACTTAAAAAGGGCTGAGGATGTGGCTTTGGTGGTAGAGCACTTGCTTAGCATGTGCAAAGACCTGGGTTCAATCTCTAGTAACAACAAAAATAAAGGTATAAGAAATGAATCTGGGCTGAGGAAGTAGCTTAGTGGTCGAATAAGGTGCTTATCATATGTGAGGCTCTGGGGTTGATCTGCAGCAATGCAAAAGGAAAAAAAAAAAAAATGGTTCTACCTTAAGTTCATAAAGTACTTTCATTTATGTCCTAATTTGTTAAAAACTGCTGTTGGGATCCTATGTATTATATGTGTGTACATATCATTTTTTTTTCTCTATTTTTCCTTTTTTTTTTTTTTCTCATACTAGGGATTAAACCCAGGGGCGCTTAACCACTGAACCACATCCCCAGCTGTTCTTTTTAGTTGTCAATGGACTTTATTTTACTTATTTATATGTGGTGCTGAGAATTGAACCCAGTGCCTCACCCATGCTAGGCAAGCGCTCTATCACTGAGCCACAAACCCAGCCCCATCCCCAGCCTTTTTTTTTAAAATTTTTTATTAGTTGTTGATGAACCTTTATTCATTTATTTGTTTATATGTGGTGCTGAGAATCGAACCCAGTGCTAGGCAAGCACTCTACCCCACCCCTTTTTCTACTATTGAGCACATATGAACTGTTAGCAGTTTTGGTTGTTTTCACAAATGATGCTGCTATGAATATTCATGTATTTCTAAGGTAACATGCCTAGGATGAAACTGCTGGGTTTTAAGGTATGTGAACGTATAATTCAACTGCTTAATGCCAAACTGTTTCCAGAGTGGTTTGTACTAGTTTCTCTTTTCACCAGCAGGTAAGGGAGTTTCTCTGCCTCCTTGCTGACATCTACTGGACACATATTCACCTTACAACACTTCTGCCAACATTTAATATGTTCCTTTACACAGTACTGACCCTGTACGGTCGGGGCTCTGTGCATGATGCAACTCTTCCTCACAAGACCCCATCTATTATACACATGTCACTTATGACCAAGAAAGCAAGTCTGTGGCCTGTCTCTGCCCTACACAATTCCCTAAAGCCTGGGCCCTGTGGCCATAGCTTCTTTCTTCTTCCAAGCTAGGCAGGATCCCAGCAGGGCCTCAGTAACACCCCTGAACCCCTTTCTCTGCAGGCTGTTATTCCCTGTCTGTCCGACTCAGTCGCCCTGCATCTTGGGACCGGATCAGACACTATAGGATCCAGCGCCTTGACAATGGCTGGCTGTACATCTCACCACACCTCACCTTCCCCTCACTGCAGGCCCTGGTGGACCATTACTCTGGTATGGCTTTTCTGTTTTCTTTCCTAATAGACTGGATAAGGGTCTAGGGGGTAGAGTGTTTGCCTGTGGACACTTCATAGCTGGAGAATATCCAGACACAAGAGGAGCCTCCCCATCTTCCTGCCAGTAGCTGCAGAGATACTGTCTTTATCCCAAGCTGATAAAGAAGCTACAGGTCAAATATGAGCTTGGCTGGTACCTCAGCCAAAGCCCCCCGCAGCAGACAGGGCTCCCCTCAAAGGAAGTAGGCTGAGCTGTTCTTGTGTACAATGCAGTTCTGACTCTCAGCATTTTCTGGTGCCTGTCTTACAAAAAGCACTGGAAAATAAGAAACCAGGTCAGAGTCAGGGCAGAAGGGAAGATGACTCTTAGTAACACCGATCAGCAGTTTTCTAAGCAGGATAGTTCCACACAATAGATACTGTCAGTGCTGTAAATAGAAATGAGCACCCCTTGGCTTGTTCTTCCTAAAACATGATCCTAACTATTAGTTAGGGCCCAAAGAAGTCTATTAATTTACCCAAAATTTCAGTGGATTAAGTTAAGTCTCCCAAAACAGCCCACAATAACTTGTAACTGCACCTCAAGTCTCCATGAGACCAACAGCTTGGGGCTCAGGTCCTACTGCTCTTTGGTAACCATATCCCCTCCCAAGTTAGGGCAGGTGGTGGTGGGGTAAGTAGGGCTGGTGTCAGCAATGTCAAGGGTGTGGGTCTCTTCCTCAGAGCTAGCAGAGGACATCTGCTGCCTCCTCAAGGAGCCCTGTGCACTACAGAGGCCTGGCCCAATTCCTGGCAAGGATATCCCCCTACCAGTGACTGTGCAGAGGACATCAATCAATTGGAAAGAGCTGGACAGGTGAGGAGACCACTGGAAACATGAAAGCAGAACAGAGAAGCATTAGAAGGACTCACTCTTAGGAACCCATAACCCAGAATGGGTCTGTCATGCTCAGGGACACCTGGGAGTCAGAGAGCTCTACCTCCAGGCTTGGCGGGTATGTTGGGGTGAAGATTGTTAGGAAGGAGAAAGCCAGCATGGACCTCAAGGCATTTAGGGTGGAAGGAAAGTAGGAGGAGGTGAGGGAGCAGAGTTCTGACTGCAGAGGTTCAGATGGGGTTTGATAGGGAGCAGGTACTTGAGTTTGTCAGTAAGAGTGACATGGAGCTATTCTGAGAGCAGTGGACCATGTGGTGAGTGCAGGGAGGAGGCAGCTCCCTCACCTGGCTTTCCCCATCCACAGCTCCCTCTTGTTTTCGGAAGCACCTGCCACAGGGGAAGCATCTCTTCTTAGTGAAGGGCTCCGGGAATCCCTCAGCTCCTACATCAGCCTGACTGAGGACACCTCTTTGGACAACGGCAAGATTAAAAGCAAAGGTCGAAAAGGAAACCAAGTCTGTGGCACTTAGAACCCCAACTCAGCTCATCATGGGCATCCCGGGGGGCAAAGCATCCAGCTCCACCTTGAGCCTTTGCTCCTCCCTCACTTGGCTCCAAGAAGTCATTTACTTCCTCTCAGGCAATGACTCTATCTATGACCTCTAGTTCAAGTGGAGGGCAGTTGAGAACAGAGCCAGAGCTCCAAAGAAAGTAAACAGCCAGGTGCAGTGGCACATGCCTGTAATCCCAGCTACTTGGGGCCCTGAAGCAGGAGGATCTAGAGTTCAAGGCCAGCCTGAGCAACTGAGTGAGACACTGTCCCAAAATAAAACATTTCAAAAAGGGCCATGGATGTAGCTCAGCAGCAGAGCACACGTGGTGCTTAACCATATGCAAGGTCCTGGGTTCAGTCCCCAGTACTGCACACACACAAAGCAAACACCCAGTCAGTTCCCAAATTTGGGATTTCCAGTACCACCCAATCTACTGCCTACCAAGTCACTCTACCTCCCTGCTAACCAGCCTCACCTACAAGGTAGAAACCACTACTAGCACCAAGGAGAAGCAAATCATTTAAAGAAACTGTACAAGAACAAATAAAAGGTCTGGGGTTGTGGCTCAGCGGTAAGGCGCTCAAGGTGTTGTGTTCGATCCTCAGCATCATATAAAAACAAATAAACAAACAAATAAATCAAGCAAAGGTATTGTGTCCAACTACCAAATAAATAAATAAATAAAATAAAGAACCGTACAAGTCTTGATCAGAATACTGCCACACCTTGGGGAGGGACAGTGGCTCATGAGGGAAAGGAGAGCAGAGGGGCTGACGGCTTACCACAGCAGCAGATCCTGGGTCGTCTAGCCTCCATTTGACTCCCAGAGCAAAGAGAAGGACTGCTGATAATCCAGGTCACGAAGCACCCTCCTTGCCCCTACCACCCCTGCCAGCACTTCTTTGCACAGCCTCAGCTCTCTTTAGTTTTGTAGCTTATCATTCAAACCTAGCCAAGCTTTCCCAACCACCCCGATCTTGCCATCTTGTGATCAAATACAAAATGACATTTTGGGGCATAACACACTGTGGGCCAGGCCCTTTCTCAGTGCTGGGCAGGGGCATCAGAAGTGGTAATCACTCTTTCCACAACCCCAAGACCAAGGCCATGCCTGTTCCCTAAAGAGAAAGACACTTGGCTGAAGCTGCTGAGGGAGCAGACCGGGGAAGGGGGGATAGGCGGAGGCGGCACCTCTGGTACTTCTACTTGGTTCAGAGGCTACAGGTGGGTAGGAAAGGCTTTACCAGGTATCATCGACAGGTTCTCAGTTAAAGATTTATTTATTCAAGTATCTGAAAACATTCTACAATGCAAACTGTTATCAGATGCTGCTTGTACTGTGCTAATGACCGCATACATACTGCCATACTGTTTTCAGAAGACTTGAAATGCCACTGATAGTTAAAAACTGTACACCTGATGGAGAACCAAGGAAGACAATTTAATGTTTCATCCCGATCCAGAGGTGCATCAAATTAAATGACAGCTCCACTCAGCAAACAGCTGTTACATGATGGTATCCAAGAAGAAAGTTGGTGATGGACAAATTCAGAAATGCTTCCCCCAAAGGCAGATGATTCTTTAAAAAGTTTCAGGTCATGACCCTTGCAGAAAACACTGACGCCCAACACACTGATTCTCAGTCCAGGAAACACGGGTCTTCCAGGTTCCATGTGGCTGGGGTGTCCCAATGATGATGTTTCTGCTGTAATTAAGAGGGTCCTTTGGACTGGACAGGGAGCAGGTGGGAACTGTACATCTTCAGTCATAGTGAATGGCAGTGTAAAAGATGATCCAAATGACCTACAGGGAAGACAAACAATGTTGATGTGGCACCTGGATCTACAGAGGCCTATAAGTCCACAAAATAACAATGTCAGATAAGAATGTGCACAGGGCACTCCCCAGGGGCTACCCAATGCATAACCTGCAGGAGACCTAAGTTATTTCATCAAAATCGGCTGTCTCAGATCACAGGACCGCTCCCTTATGCTCCAAAAGGGACCCTCTGAATACCCACCTCCCCTCACCAAACAGCGCCCTGAGCCCCAGAGAGTACTGTGGGGTATACAGGTGGAATTGATACAAGTAGAGCTGGACTGCTAGCAGGTGCTCAATTTACTAACAAGTGTAAAAATAGCCTTCATACTTTTAGCTTTCCATCAAAACAGAGATTATTATATTTTATTTTACGTTTTGTAGATGGACATGATACCTTTATTTATTTTTATGTGGTGCTGAGGATCAAACCCAGTGCCACATGCTAGGCAAGTGCTCTGCCACTGAGCCCCCACCACAGCCCAAAGCAGAGGTTCTTAAACCTAGCTACCCTTTCAATCTCTCGGAACCTTTAAGAAAAACAGGATTTCCTGATGCCACCTCCCAAGAGATTTTTTTTTAATGTTTATTTTTTAGTTCCAGGTGGACACAATATCTTTATTTTGTTTTTATGTGGTGCTGAGAATCGAATCCAGTGCCTCACGTATGCCAGGCGAGCGCGCTACCACTTGAGCCACATCCCCAGCCCCCAAGAGATTTTATTGGTTTGGACCAGGGTCTGGACACAGGATAGGTGTATTTAAAAAAAAAAACCAAAACAAAACAAAAAAAACCTTTGAATATATAATTCACATACCAGGAAGTTTACTCTTTTTTTTTTTTTTTTAAAGCATATAGTTCAGAGGTTTTTAGTACATTCATGAAGTTGTGCAGACATCCTCACTAACTGATCCAAAAATAACTCTCCAAAAAGAGCCTGTTCCCATGATTAGTTATTACTTCCTATTTCTCGCTCACCTCAGCCTCTGGCAACCACTAATCTATTTTCTGTCTCTATGGACTTGCCTATTTTGGACAAGTCACATAAATGGTATCATACAATAAATATGGTCTTCTGTCCGGATTCTTCCACTTAGCTTTGTTTTTAAGACTCATCCATGATGTGTAGTACACATCAGGACTTATTTCCGTTTCATGGTCGAATTAACATTCTGCATGTTTTAGCTGTTATGAATGTTCTAAATAATAATGTCATATATATTTTTAAATGTTTCCCAGTTTCTCATATGTAGCCAAGGTTGAGAATCAGATGCAGAAGTAGACAATGGGTCCTAGATTTACACTTTCCGGGAGACTGTACAGCATCCACATCACATCACAGGGACAACCTGGCTCAAACATGTCCTCCAACTTCAGGAATCTTGAAAAATGGCACCTTAGTTGCGCACAGTGGCATACACCTATAATGCTTGTTCTTGGGAGGCTGAGACAGGATTATAAGTTCAAGGCTAATTTTGGCAATATAGTGATGTCCTGTCTCAAAAGAAAAATAAAAAAGGCTGGGGGGGCTGGGAATGTGGCTCAAGCGGTAATGCGCTCGCCTGGCATGCGCAGGGTGCTGGGTTCGATCCTTAGCACCACATAAAATAAAAAAATAAAGATGTTGTGTCCACTGAAAACTGAAAAATAAATATTAAAAAAGTTCTCTCCCTCTCTCTTAAAAAAAAAAAAAAAGGCTGAGGAACTGGGGATGTAGCCAGTGGTAGAGTGCCCTAGTACTTCAGGGGAAAAAAAAAGATGGCCCCCCAACCGTAGTACAACTTAACTGGCTGGCTCTATAAGAATGGTATCTCAGGAAATGAATAGAACCTGCTCTAAAACTTCCAGCTACATACCATGAACAAGGCAAAAGATGTCATAAATCCTTCTTTTGTTAGCTCCCAGGTGCCACCATATTCTTCTTCATCGATCTGTAGATAGTTGCTGAAGTAGAGGTACAGGACTCCTGCATTGATCAGGCAGAATCTGGAATGAGGGAAGATAGGCACCAAACACAAGCTTAAGCTTAGAAGACTCAAAGCTCCCACCAGCAATGTTCAGCTGCTAGAGCACTCACTGTGTTCCACAGCTCGTGTTTGTGTCTCTTACCACCAGGCAGGGATGACCTGGACAGAAACAAGTTTTGGGCTCAGGAAAACCAGTTCAACACGTTTTCCTTCATTGTTATGAGAGCTGTGTAAGGCTCTTAATATCTGTAAAATGGGGATGCTGAAAAGTATGTGGCAGGGAAAATACTACTTTAAAATGCCTAGACCCTCAGTAGAGCTGCCCACCTGACTGGGCTAGAGATGTAAAAAAAGACTATTTTTAGTTGCCCAGAAAACACAAAAATTTAAAAAATTTAAAGTAGGGGTTGGGAATGTAGCTAAGTGGTAGAGTACTTATCTAGTAGGCATGAAGCCCTGCGTTTGATCCCCGACACTGCAAAACAACAAAAATTCAAAGTATACATAAGTTTTCCAAGCCTCCTCCTCCTCCCAAAGCAAAACATAATGACTTACACCAGATGTGGGCCTTCACATGACTCCAGATGAGGGGTGGCTATGGGATAAATGGTAAGCTGCTGCTTCATGTCCTCACTGCACAAGGAGCAGCACATGTCCCCTGCACTGTTCCCTAGGGCAGATATTTGGGATGTCTACCATCTGCTGCTGGTTTTGATGCACAGGTGATTACAGCAGCTCTTGCTCTATTAGGGGCCTAAGAACAGCAACTAGAGTGGAGCTGAAACCAGTGGTTTGTTAACAACCCCAAGAAAGTCTCTGACCCACAAAATATATTTCACCAATACAGGAATTAGAATGAAGTGAGCAGAAAAAATATGACCGTTCTTATCTCTTGTTTTCTTCTCCCAACCCAGTACCGGGGATTGAACCCAGGAGTACTCTACCACTGAGCTACATTCTCAACCCTTTTTATCTTTTATATGAGACAGAGTCTAAGATGCCCAGGCTGGCCTGGGATGGCAGGCGGTTCCATCGTGCCTGGCTTCATCTCTTGTTTTCACAAAGTTGTTCTACCTTTCTTGTGATCTTTAAGTTACTTAATCGAATTTAATGGGGGATCATGTGCCTCAAGTCACATCCCTTCTGAAGACAGAGATAAAAAATGCAATGATTGGGGTGTAGCTCAGTGGTAAAACAAGTATTTAGCATGTGCAAGGCCCCAGGTTCCATCCCCAGAGCCAAAAGAAAAAAGCAGAAGCCAGGTTCTGTGGTGCACATATGCCTGTAATCCCAACAGCTCAAGAGGCTGAGAAAGAACTGCAAGTTCAAAGCCAGCCTCAGCAACTCAGTGAAGCCCTGTCTCTAAGTAAAATACAAAATAGGGCTGGGGATGTGGCCCAGTGGTCAAGAGGCCCTGAGTTCAATCCCGGGTACAAAAAAAAAAAAAGCAAGCAGAGAGAACTGGTTCCTCCCAAGGGATGAAGTGTGCACTGGTGTAAGGCAGTACAATGGTGCCTGACAAGTGTAAACTGGCTAATGAAGGGTGAGGAGACCCTGAGGCTGAGCAACGATGGGTAGGTAGGGTGTGCAGATTCAAGAGTCCAGTTTGAATAGTGAGAATATGGGCTTTTTCCTGAGTGAAAGGAACAGGGGTGGGAAAGACTGGTGTAGGCATGTACTCAGATTTCAGGACAGGAGGGCAAATACAGTTTGAGGACAGGGTCTGTGCAGTTAGCTGAATGAGGAGGTAAAAAGGGCCAAAGGCTTTAAGCCTAAAGGCCTGGGGAGTACAATGGTTTCAATAACATCACCAGGGAGTCAGGAGGAACAGAGGTTTTTCTTGGACTTCAAAACATAGTTGTTGCCTTGGCCATGTTGTGGACACATACTTATCACCTGCCAGAAATCTTGAGACTCAGCCAAATCTGTTTACCTTCCTTTGATAGCTTCATTTTGGACAGACTGACTAAGTGGTTCTAGTTGGAGACTACAGATAGAAGTTCAGGTTCAGACAAAAGCTGGTCTGGAGAAGAACTGTGGAGCCAAGGAGCAAGGATAGCGAGAGAGAGAAAAAGGCTGACAGGCCCTGCCCTCCTGGGATTACATACTAAATAGAAATTGAAGTCACAGAAATAAAGACACTTAAATCCAATATTTGGTGGTCAAGGGAGAAGAGTAAGAAAGGTCAAAAGTTTAAGGCCTGTCTGGGTAACTTAATGAGACTCTGCCACAAAATAAAAAGGACTAGGGATATAGCTCAGTGGGTAAAGTGCTTGCCTTGCATGCACAAGGCCCTGATTCAATACCCAGCACCACAAAGTAATTAATTAATTAATTAATCAATCAAAAGGGCTGGGATATAGAGCTCCTGAGTTCAATCCCCAGTACCAAAAGAAAAAGGACTAAAAGGACCCATACTAAGCTTTAAGGATGAGTATAATTTGTTTTATAAATGAAGGAGAGTTGCAAAACAACTGTGAAGACAAAGAAATTAATGTATCAGATAGGGGCTGAAAAAAGAACATGAAAAAAACTTTCACATTTAAAAAAAAAATTCTATCCTAGGGCTGGGGGTGTAGCTCCATGGTAGAGCGCTTGCCTAGCTTGTGTGAAGCCCTAAATTGGATTCCCAACAGTGTGAAAACAAATTTAAAAAGATTAAAAGTCTACCCTTGGCTGGGCACAGTGTGGCGCACACCTATAATCCCAGAAGCTGGGGAGGGGGGAGGGGGGCTGAGGCAGGAGGATTGTGAGTTCAAAGCCAGCCTCAGGAAAGGCGAGACGCTAGGCAACTCAGTGAGACCCTATCTCTAAATATAATACAAAATAGGGCTGAGGATGTGGTTCAGTGGTTGAGTGCCCCTGAGTTCAATCCCCAGTACCAAAAAAAAAAAAAAAAAAAGAGTCAATGGAATTCCTATAACTCCAGCTACTAAGGAGGCCGAGGAAGGAGGATCACAAGTTCAAGGCCAGCCTCAGCAACTTAGTATGACACTGTAAACAACAAAAAGGGCTGATGATGTAGCTCAGTGATAGAGGACCCCTGGGTTTGAATCCCAGTAGTAGGAGGGAAAAGAATTTTTTTTGAAGAAGCATTCACTGAGCATCTATTCTCATATGCCAAGCTCTAAGAGAGACCCAGAGGTAGGAGGCAATGGGCACTATTTCTCTCTGATAATGCAAAACCTCAGCAGGCAAAGCAAAACTGTTACCTCTCAGGCAAATTATAAATAAGGAGATCAAGGAAATGGTTTTATATTAACTGGCTCTAACTGGAGGCTACAACAGAATAAAATGAAGAGCAGCAAGCTGGGGTCTGGACAGAGGGCAGTTAAGCAGGAAGGGGAGAAGGTCACCAGAAATGAGCAACAGGGCCATCCTGCCCTAAACCAAAGCAGCTGGGTCAAACAAATAGAGAAGGAGATGTAGGGAAAAATCAAAGTACTTGGCTCTTTCAATGAGCAGGGGGAAAGTTGCCAACCAAAAAGAGGGAAGAGATTTGTCTGGGGTGAGAGAAACTGGCTCTGGGTAAACAGTGTGGGACTGAATCCCAGAAAACAGGCAGTCCTGGAAGAGTGGCACCATGCACTATGGTGAGCCACTCCCATGCATCTTGTTTCCTGTTCTCTCAACAGGTGTTTCTTTTCTTTTCTTTTTTTTTTCTTTTCTTTTCTTCCTTCCCTCCTTCCTTTCTCTCTCTCTTCTTTCTTTCTTTCTTTTTTTTAAATACCAAGGTCTCCCCAGGTTGTTTAGGGCCTTGCTGAGCTGCTAAGGCTTGCTTTGAACTCATGACCCTCCTGCCTCAGCCTTCTGACCTGCTGGGATTTCAGGCGAGTAACACTATAGCCGATTCAGGTCATGTTTTACCACTCTTCTTGAAGCTAGTCATGTACCAGTGGCACTGAAATAGTCATGGAGTGCCTGTGATGTACCCAAACATGACATTTAGCAATTCACTTGCATAATCTCATTTATTTATTATTTATCTCTCTTATTGCCTTCCTTTTACTGAAGAGGATTATGTATTATGAAAGTGTCAGACCTAGAACTTAGAACAATTTGTAAGCCTTAAACTACATGCTGCTCCAGATAGTGTGATGGAATCTCATGTTGTCCT